CGTTTTTAACATGAGAAAGTATTTGAATTCACAGAAACAGCGTCAGAAAAAGCCAAAATCGTCATTTYTGTGTTTGTTGTTGTTTTGCGAGTTATCTATTTTGAGAGTAATTTGCTCAACAAATTAAGTTTTCTACTAAAATAATTGACTTGGAATAGTAGAAGTAAACAAGTGTCCGAATAAAATTCTACTGATCAGTCAGAAAAATGAACGGGGAATTCTACAACACTGCCACACTTAACCGTTAAGTCACTCAGCCATTGAGAAAACAAGCCATTATCCATCATTAGAAGCCCACAATTCACAAAAGAAAAAGAGTCCTGTTTCTTTTTTCAAACAAAACCTTGAAATAACTCCGGCAGCAAGAMAGAAAAAATACGTCCAATCAACACAAAACGAATGCAAGAAGTCGTTCGCCAAGTTTTRCGAAGCCGTTGAGCTAAACAGCCAAACATCCGACCAAGCGAAACTCCAACAAACGTTTTCTTTGCAACTCACCTTTTCCAATGTTTGGGGTTGAACTTTTTGTATTGCCAGATAATCTTGAATTAATTTGTATTAACGACCGAAATGCTAGGTACTGCAGTGTTTGGAGACTCTACTTCGACCATAGTTAATAGAGGGGACCTCTATTAACTATGCTTCGACAAACGTTTTTGCTGTGATTGAAAACGAGTTACAACGTTTGTGCGAATTCTCACGGATTCTAATTTATAAAAACAAATTCGTTTCTTTATTTTTTTTATTCCTTTTTCTCAGTTGTGAATCATGTATATACTAGAATCGCCGCTCGRTAAATATTYGTTRATAATCACTTCGGTGGAATAATTGTTAAATGTCATATAAAACAAACTGAACTTCAACATTCGAAAAATAATATCTAAAAATAGGAATTGACTAAAATACAAAAATATTATCTAGTTCAATTTGAATTGTGTGGTTAGTAGTAAGCAAAGGATGTTTCGAGCCCCGTCCAGTATGAGGTAGGAGGTAGGAGGTAGGAGGTATGCTAATGAGGCAAAAGTGATAGGGGAGGGGTGGTCAAAACGAGTAGGAGGTATAAATTATTTTAGTAGGTGGGTATGCTAATGAGGCAAAAGTG